TTCTTATTTTCTAGATGCTTGTTTTGGTAGTTGAAGCCTTGTCATCCATTCCATACTTTGAGGGGTAGATTGTAGGGTTTAAAGTACTCCATGGATTATGGCAACGGGTCCCCTTGATGAAGTGTAGGCTAAAAGACCAAGACTTGTCTTTTCCCTATAAATAGTTATGCATTATTCATAATTAGGGTTAAGAGTGAGGCAAAATGTAGCCGCCAAACATTGTGAGGTTTCTTATGTAAGGTTAGATTCTGTAGTCTATTCTAAAAGTATAATTTATTCCTCATGTTTTGAATAAATCGAGTGATCATTCGACATATCTTCTTTATTGTGTTTGTTCTTATTTTCCATATCTTGTTCATCAAATCACAATTAGGGTTTTATTCTCAACAAATATGGTTATTATGAGTTCGTGGTGATGTCATTTGGGCTCACCAATGCTCCTGCCGTGTTCATGGATCTCATGAATCGCATGTGCAGACCGATGCTGGATCAGTCGTGATAGTATTTATTGATGATATCTTATTCTATTCCAAGACTCGGGAGCAGTACGAGGAGCACTTGAGGGAAGTGCTGGAGACATTGAGGAGGGAGAGACGTTTTGCAAAGTTCTCAAAATGTGAGTTCTGGTTACACGAGGTGCAGTTTCTGGGGCACCTTGTCAACCAGAAGGGTATTCTGGTTGATCCGGCCAAGGTTGAGGTTGTGATGCAGTGGGAGATTCCGAGGTCTCCAACTGAGATTCATAGTTTTCTTGGTCTGACGAGTTACTATTGGAGATTCATCCAGGATTTCTCCAAGATCGTTGTTCCATTAACCCGACTGACCAACAAGTCGGTGTCATTTCGTTGGGGGCTTGAGCAGCATGAAACTTTTTAGACTCTTAGTCAACGGTTGTTTGAGGCACCGATTCTGAACTTGCTAGAGGGTGTTGATGATTTTTTTTGGTTTATTGTGATGCCTCGATCACGGGTTTGGGTGTCGTGTTGATGCAGCAGGGTCACGTGATCGCTTACGCTTCGAGGCAGCTAAAGACACATGAGGCAAACTACCCGATGCATGATTTGGAGTTGGGGGACGTTGTTTTCGCCCTCATGATTTGGTTACATTACCTCTATGGGCTTCATTGTACTATTTACACGGACCACAAGAGCCTGAGGTATTTGATGGATCAACCGAACCTGAATACGAGGTAGTGACGTTGGTTCGATGTGGTGAAGGATTATGATTACAACACCCAAGGAAGGCCAATGTGGTGGCCGATGCTCTCAGTCTCAAGGTGTTCATGGCTCCGATCAAAGATATATGCTTGAGGATGATAGGTACTACTCAATTTTTGGAGCGGATCCGCGAGGCTCAAGTCGAGGCTATGAAGGAATAGAACCAGAAGAGCTAGCGCATTATGGGTAAGGTGGGTTCCTTCAATTTTGATAGTCGTGAATTATTGACCCTGCATCGGAGGGTCTGGGTACCTTATTGGGGTGGTGTGCGCCAGGTGCTGATGGATGAGGCCCACAAGTCAAGGTTCTCCATCCATCCTGGGGCGATGAAGATATATAAGGATCTTCATCCTGATTATTGGTGGCCCTACATGAAGCGGGACACAACATGGTATGTCGAGTAGTGCTTGACCAACAGGAAGGTCAAGGCCGAACATTAGCGACCTCACAGCAAGATGCATCCATTGGAGATTCCCATATGGAATTGGGAAGACATAACCATGGATTTCATCGCGAAGCTTCCCAGGACCGCGTGCATAGTGGATTCTATTTGGGTCATCATGGATCCTTTGACCAAGAGTGCACATTTCATTCCGTTCCATGAGAGCATATATGCAGAGAAGTTGGTGGAGATTTATATCTAGGAGGTAGTGACACGTCATGGGGTGCCAGTATCAGTGGTTTCAGACAGGGATGTTCGTTTTACTTCCAGATTTTGGAAGCGATTTCATGAAGAGATGGGCACTTGTCTCTTTTTAGTACAACATTTCATCTCTACACTGATGTTCAGAGTGAGCAAACTATTCAGAATCTTGAGGATATGTTGCATGCGTGTGTGTTGGATTTTGGATACGTATCTTCCGTTAGTGGAATTTTCGTATAAAAACAGTTATCACGCTAGCATCGATCGACCTCCTTTCGAGATGCTCTACGGGATGAAGTGCATGACCCTGATTTGTTGGGGAGAGGTCGATCAGTGGGTCATGAGGAGCACCAAGGTGGTGCTTAAGACCATTGAGCTGATTCAATAGGTTCGGAGCAGGCTCAGAACAACTCAGAGTCAACAGAAGAGTTATGTTGACAAGTGTCGGTCAGACTTGGAGTTCCAAGTGGGAGATATGGTTCTCTTGAAGGTGTCTCCTTGGAAATGTGGCATCCGGTTCAGGAAGTGTTTAGTGGATGATTCCGTAGTTGTACCCTTGGAGGATATTCAGGTGGATGATCGCCTAAATTATATCGAGAGATCAGTGGCAATTTTGGATCAGAAGACGAAGACATTGAGGAACAAGGTCGTAGAGCTGGTGAAAATGCAGTAGCAGCACCACAAGGGATCAAAGAGGACATGTGAGCCCGAGGACGAGATGAGAGAGCATTATCCAACGTTGTTCAGGGCAGAGGACTTCGAGGATGAAGTCGGATTCAAGTGGGGTGAAATTGTAACGCTTCAATCTAGGTAAGTTTCTCATTTGACCTTGCATATTTAACTTGTCCCATTTTGACCATTGAGTTGTACGTAGGGCATACAATCAAGTACACTTAGCGTACAAGTGATGAAGCAAGTATGCAGGGCGTACTTAGTGGTACGCTTAGCTTACTCATGCGAGGGTGTGATTAGGGTCCCGGATGCGTACACAGGGAGTACAGCTTCGTATGCGGGGCGTACATAATGATTAATGAAAACCCTAATTTTAGGGGTTGGCCACTATATAATCATCCTTATAGACTTGAAACCCTCAATTCACCAGCCTCCTTGTCCCTTTTATCCTATATTCAAACCCTAATCCCATCTTCTGTGATTTTGGAGCTTAGAAGGCCATTTGGAAGAGTATTTTGGTGATTTGAAGGAAGGTGTCCATTCTAGAAACTTCATTGAAGAAGTGAAGGCTTATAGATCCAGAACCTCATCATCTTTTGGCAATCATTTGAGGTTTATGGACTCTTTTGGCCCCATTGATGAGATCTTATGAATCTACATCTTTTTTGAAGCTTAGAGTTGCTACTATTGGTGTTATTTGGGTCCTTAATTCATAAAGTTGTCATTTTTGAGGTTGAGATCCATCCATGCATGAGTTAGTGCCACTTACATGGAACTAGAATGGTATATTTGAGTTTGGGTTCATTTGGGGAATGCAAAGTCACCAATTCAGTGACCTTACGGGTCTTATTGGGGGGGTCAGATATGGCATCGACCAAGTCCTCACACGATGGCCTAGATTGCAGCAATTGAATGTTTAGTCTTGGAGGGCTGAATGCGCCATATAGGTAAGGTTGCACCCTTTCTAACATCAATTGGTTTTAGATCAACCGGTAGCACGGATGCTCAACAAGTGGTATCAGAGCCAGTGGCGAGGGTTCGATTCTCTCAGGGAGAAATTTCTCAGGGGGCATTGTTGGGGGCCAGAAATGGCATCAACCAAGTCCTCGCACGATGGCCTGGAGTGTCGCAATTGAATGCCTGGTCCTAGAGGGCTGAATGCGCTATATGGGTAAGGTTGTGCCCCTTCTAACACCAATTAGTTTTAGATCAACCGGTAACACTAATGCTCAATAGGTCTAGACATTGATTAGGACTCATTTCTATGGTTTGGGATAAGCATTAAGTGCTTAATGTCAAAAAGTGGCTTAATAGAGGAGTACGTTGGGGCCTGGGAGTACAAGTATGTATGCGTAGCGTACAAGCCAGCAAGCGAGTACACACCGCATATAGCTGAGTACGCCCTACGTACTCAGTCAGAGTGGGCTTTACACAATTGGGCCTTGGTTTGGTCCATTCCTTGGACCTTGTTTCTTTGGTCCTTAGTGGGCCATCTAAAATCAGGCTTTTGGACAAAGGATATGATTGGGTTTGGGCCCAATTTGGAAAATTAGGCACTAAGTGGGCCGCTAGTAGGCCTTGGAAGATTATTCAGTTTTTGGCCTTTTATATTGTGGATTAGGGCCTTAGTCATGGATTAAATTATTACAAGGTTAAAATGGTCATTTTACCCCAAGTATGGAGTATTGGAAATTGATTGAGACCCAAGTATTGGTTGGGTGTCATTTTTTCACTAATAGCCCGGGGAGTTGTTAGGGCGACTGCTATGGATTTCTTTCTTTGAGATTCAACATTTGAGGTTAATTTCCTCACTGGGTTTAGTGGGTCTAAGGTACCAATGTCAACCCTTATTGATTATTCTAGGATGCTAGGACTCTACCTGACCCGTGCATGTATTATGTGTTGCTATGTATACTGGGCGGGGCTCGATGCCGAGCGAGGCGCGATGACTGGAACATATGATAGTGTTTATGATCATTATATGAATTAGCATGTTTATGTGATGTATTGTATGTGTATAGCAGGTGAGGCGTAGTGACTGGCGAGGCCTGAGAACAATAGATCTGTAAACCGAGCGTGGCTCGATGCCGGGTGAGGCCCGATGTCGAATGGGGGCCCAGTATGTGATTTATTATGTATGGTATGGGGTAGTTTGGGGGAACTCACTAAGCTGTGTGCTTATTGTTTTCAGTTTATGTTTCAGGTACTTCTGGTTGCAAAGGGAAGAGCTTGGGTTGACTGCATCACACACACCATTGGGATTCCATATATGCTATTTTACTTTGATTTTTATGACATTTGATACATTGGTTATGTTGAGATGTATGGATGATATTTGGAAATACTATTTATCTATTTAAAAATAAAAATTTTGGGACCATATTTTGGGATGTTACACCACTAGTGTATCCGTTACCTGAAGGGTATACTTGGGCTGTTAACGTATGGGTGGACAGTATGGGCGTATTTTATGTGTGAGGATTATTGGGCATAGCTTGTTGATAATATGGAATTATGAAGGGGGAAATGCTTGTTGCAAATGTAGGTTTTAGGAAATCCACTGCTTGGTTTCTGACCGTCTGATCCAACAACAACATTTGGATAGCCATTGGCATTTCTCCCATCATCTTGGTTATTGGTGGTGTCTGAAGGAACATTGAATGTACCCCTACTGTCTGGCTTATTGATGGTGTCTGGAAAACCACCGGTTGTGTGCCTATCGTCTGGTTCTGCGGCGGTGGTGTTTGGAAAACCACTGGTTGTGCACCTCCATCTGGCTTGGCGGTGGTGGTGTCTAGAGAACCACTGATTGTGCGCTTGTCATCTGACTTGGCGGTGTTGGTGTCTGGAAAACCACCAGTGGTGCACCTGCCATCTGACTTGGTTGTGGTGGTGTCTGTAGAACCACCGGTTGTGCGCTTGCTATCTGGTTCTGCGGCGGTGGTGTTTGGAAAACCACCGGTTGTGCACCTGCCATCTGACTTCGTGGTGGTTACTGAAAGAGACTCGGTGTGGCGCTAGCGTCTTCCATCGTTGACGGCATCGTACTGCTTGGTACCACTGCTAGCTGAGGTCCTTGTATTAGAGTATTTTGCATTGACACAACGACGGAAGGAGGTTGTCCTCCATCGACTGGTTGTTCTTGTCCGGTAGTTGATGTAATAGATACCGCCATACCACCTTCCTTTGACGCTTCGTTGGCGATTACTGTGGGATTTGGAGTAGTGGTTTTCTCCAACGACATCATGGATCTAATGGGGTTGGTTGGCGTTCTACCGGTCTCTCCTGTGTCGCCGGACGCCATTTTCACCAATGAGTAGTGTGCTTTTAGTTTATTTTTCATCACATGATGGATGACACCAAATAATGTGATGTGATTCCGACTCTTGAACGTTCTCCGCTATTAGTAGTTCCAATGAACCTGTGAGGTCACAGCAAGAAAGGGTCGGTAGCCGTTCTTCGAGAGGGGCTCCCAAGAAACGCTCCGGCGGTTAAGTCAGTGGATTGACTTAGGGTAGTATTGGATTTGACTGAGAGAGAATCACTTACTTTCTGAGGCACATGGGGTATCCTTTTATACTAGACCCTTCTGCTAGTCCGTACGGGACAAGGGCATCAACCCGATAGGATCAGGGACGTTGATTAATGGATCATGCTCCTTAATCTGTCAGAGCCAACGATTGGTTCAGACGGTAATACTCTGAGCATCTGCCTTTTCGCCTAAACGTTATTTTTGTCCCGAAGTGGAAGGTGTCATGGGTGGGGCCAAGCCTTCCTCCGTGGGCGCCCTGCTCTCAGAGGCGCTGATGGGCGCAAGGTTCCATTAGGCTTAGCTTGACGGGCACATCATGCCTTAGGTCATTCTATGGCGTGGCCGGGCACGACTCCTTTGCACGTACTAGGGCACGTCATCAATATATATAAGGTGAGTATGTGTGTGTGTGTGTGAGAGAGAGAGAGAGAGAGGGAGAGCGATAGAGATTTTAATGACATGAAGGGTTTTATGGGAAAATAATACAACTGCGTGGAATCAAAGCACCATATACTACAACCTATCTGTTTTCTCTTCTTCTCCTCTTATTGATCCCGGTACAAGGCTTGACTCTTTGCCAATGGTCGCAACCAACGTCTCAATATTGGTTGTGATAAGAATTTTATCCTGGTTGTTAAACCAATCATTATCCATGTCATTCTGAACATAATTGTCTATCATCGTTGGCCCTTTATCAGTTAGATGTGTAGAATGTATTTCTTTACGATCATCTTCATGAGACCGTATACATGCATCAACTACTGGGATTTCGTGATTCGACATTCATGAACTATGTTTGCTTACTTTAGAGGTCTCTATATGGTCTCAAATAGGTACCATGAGTTTGGTTTCATAGTTTAGCTAAGTTTATCACAAGGTTTGGATTTATGCACAATCGATCAGATTCATCACTTTTATTTATCACCAGGGTGCTCATATGACTTATCTTTTTTTTTTTTTAAATTTTTTTTGTGGATGATATTTGTTTGACAATTTCATCCACCAACCTTATTCATCAAGTTATTTTGACTCTTTTTTCAAAGTTTTCCATGACAAATCTAAGCTCTATGAACCACTTTCTTGGTGTTGTCACTCACGATCATCATGGCATTTTTCATCTTATTAAAAAAAATATGCCACATATATTCTTAAGTGAACCAAAATGATTAAATACAAACGAACTCTCACCCCAAATGATACTTCAACCAATTTTAACGACACTGACCCCTCATATGGACGATATGACTTTATACACGAGTCCTGTTGATGCACTTCATTATAATACATTTGCGAGACCAACCATATCTTATATTTTTAATAGGTATGCTTATACATGCATGATATTATAGGGATACACTTCTCGGCTCTCAAACATATTTTACTCTATCTTCGAGGCACTCTAGATCATGACCTACAACTTTATGTTTTTTCCTCGATGTAACGCCCACAGATTCATGCTAGACGATTATGATATAACAAGGGATAAAATGACTTTTTTGATAGATGATTATTTAGGATAAATAATCTTAACCAATGTATAGTATATGTGACAATGATTATGTACATATAAAGAACTCTGAAATCCAACTTCGTATGAAGAAGCTACGCTTCTTTGAAGTTTCGCGATTAAACCGACACGACTTTGCGTATCGTAAAAAGTAAAATTTTGATGGATTACCTATTAGCGTAAGTGATCTAAACTATACTCATAGTAGTCATAAAATCGAGAGCATACATATAGAGAACGTCAAAATCTGACTTCATATGAGGAAGTTATGATATTTCGAAGTTTTAGCGCTGCTGTGTCAACACAGAAATCGAATTTTAGATCAGTCGATTATTAGGGAAGAAAATCCAAACAAGATTTGAAGATCTCATCAATACCTATCCATAGATATAAAGATAGTCAAGAACGGATACCGTATTAAAGAGATGTGATTTTTACACGAACTTTAACAGTCTAAGCATGTGAAAACATAACTTTAAAACAATATGAAAATTAGCCGACAGAGTCTAAATGAAATTTGTATATCTTGTTGATAGCTACTTGCAAATATAAAATACGTCCAAAACGGATATTGTATGAAAAATATAAGGATTTTTGTAGTTTTATAAAAATTCGTGCGCAGGCGCGCGTGCCTTAGACGACCCAACCAATGGATGACTTATGTCACGCATCTATAGGAGCCACGTCACACTTCCTGTATTATGCGAGGCACGTGCAGAAAAAATGCACGGAAAGCCCTACCTTTTTTCAGCTATAAAAGGCACTCGAAGCTCAACTCATTTCTCACTCAAATTTCAACCAAATCCTCTGAAATTTCTTCTTAACCCTAGTCCCTTTACTCTCTAGTTTCCAACTAATTTATCGAATCCTTGGAGCGTTTGAGAGATAGAGCTTTTTCATGGAGATTATTCCCGCATAATTCCTAGTTTTCATCAGAATACTCTGTAAGTTGATCTATACTTACTCTGCTTTAAGTGTAACTTATGATTATAGGCATAATCCTTATTATGAACCTATAATTGAGATTTATTGATGATTCCAAGTCATTATACTGATTGATCTACTTATATGAGTGATGTCTAGAGTGTATTTAGTGAGGTGTTTAAAGTGTGATTTCCAAACAGTATACTCTGTATACCAAACGGACCCTACCTCTGATATGATCCTACCTGGTTATTCATTACTTGATAGATATTGATGTATACATTGAGATTATTGAGGAATCTAGACTATCATTATATAGTCGCCAGGATGATGAAACTTAAATAAGAGTTAGTGTTTTATACTTTTAGGTCTTTGAAAGTGTTAAGGCGAAGCGTTATCCTAACCTTGAGTCACATACTTTTGTCAAGTGAATGCATAGTTACTTTCATCTTATACATTGATATGAAGTATTTAGATAATTAAATGTTATGTGCACCTATTATCTGCAATATGTGTTTGATGAACCTATAAGATATGGTTTTACTCGATTTAATTATATAAGTATTTTCCTACTTATATATATATATATATATATATATATATATATATATATATATATATATATATATATATCGGGTAGGGATGGGTGATGAGTGATGAAAAATGATTAGAAAAATGATTAGGAGAGGTCCTTAACAATGAAAATATAGGAGATCCCATGACTTTTACTTGTGATGATTGCAATATGGTCATCTAACGGATATAGATGACGACCACAGACTAATATCTATAATCAAGTGAAACATCACTATGTTCGCAACCTATAGTGATGAAGTACGAGTTCAGGTGATGTACAAACCATGTATTCATGCGATATACTTTACTGGCATGTATTATGGAGGAATCCCCAAAGTAGTATTGTCAAGCGATGTTAGGCGATGAACATTAAGAGAAGTTCTTAGCGATGAATATATAAGAAAATGTGATGTTAGGCGATGAACCTTAGGATAGTTCCACATAAATGAATATAGAAGACAATAGGGATGAGTAATTTGGTTAATTGTTTGATAGATAATTAAACATATTAATTATATTATCGTGGGTTGAAAACTCTATGTACTCACCAGGTTTCCCAACCTAACCCGCTCAACTTCTTTGTATCATAGGTAGCAATACAAAGGTATGTAAATGATGAGAGATTCGATGAGACGTAGGCTAGTAGTCTAAGATATTGTAAGGCTTGTTTATGATTATGTTTTGTAGCAATTATGACATCCCAAGCTTTTGTAAATCAATGAAAAATATTTCTTCGAAAATACTTTTACGAGACTAAATTCCGCATTTATAAATAAACTCTATTTTAAATAAGCATAAATAAAAAGTTTTAAAACCATAAAATTGGGGATGTAACAATCTCTCAACCTCATTTCCTACTTTAATTTTGGTTGGGATGGCTACTTAACCACTCGTAGATCCACATTTGGATACTGTGTTTTTTTTAGATAGAACCTACTTTCTTGGTCCTCCAAATGACAAGGCACTATTTCTAGGTCTACTGCTGAAACTAAATACATGGGTATTGAAAATGCTATGGCAAAAACCATATGGCTTCATACTCTTCTTCGTGAACTCTACTATTCACCTCTCTCCACCACACTTGTTTACTATGATATTTTAAATGCAATCTACGTGTCCAAAATCTCATTCAAGATCAACACATCAAACCTATTGAGATTGAAATCCAAATTGTTTGAGATAAAGTTTCCATGGCTCAAGTTCAGGTTCTTAATGTTCCTTTTTCATCTCATATGTTGATATTTTCACCGAGGGTCTACCTTCATCTCTATTTCTAGATTTTCGTTCCAGTCTGAAGGTCGCTTTAGGCCTCCCGTTAGGACGCAGGGGTGGTTAGACGTATATGGAATTTGTATTTATTTATGTTTGTATTTTTAGTGTGACCCATTGTTATTACCACACTTGTATTTTGCCCTTATAGTTGTATCCTTGTATATATGTTAAGTTTAAGGGATAATGACTTGAAAGGGTAACGAACTTTCGATTTTGTTCACATTTAGTCACTAAACTTTTTTTCGTTATCTATTTGTCACCGAACTATTGAAAATGTACACATTTTACCCTTATGACTGATTGTTACCGGTCATAAGGCTAAAATGTGAACAGTTTCAATAGTTTGGTGGCAAATAGATAATGAAAAAAAGTTTAGTGACTAAATGTGAACAAAATCGAAAGTTTGTTTCCCTCTTAAAAAGTTCAATAACTAAATGTGAACAAAATTCCTCTTGTATTATGTTTTAGCAAATTATTTATTTTTGTTAAATTG